AAAAGGAAGTCTCGAGCGGGAGCGTTGTTGTTGTTGGGGGGCCCGTTTTGGCGCCCCCCCAAGGCGCTCCGGCGTGAGCCTCATTTTCAATGAAAGTGTAGCCAGCGCCGCGGCGAGAGCGCCAGGGCGCCTGGGGGGTCTAAGGCAGATGGATGTTTACTGATCAACAATCAACAACAACATCAACAACAACATCAACAACAACAATAATCACTTTACCCGAACGCTCAGTGTTCTCACCAGTGCCAGGGTTTTCATGCGACGCCAGCCAATACCCCCACTTTGTGGGGGGGCCGGTTCAAGCTCTACCACATTTCCAAACGACTCTTCGCCACCACCCACACCCAGCTTCCCGCCCTATGACGTTCGGACACTTCACTTCGTGGCCTGCGGGCGACCGTGGCTACTACACTGGCGCGGTGCTAAAATTCCTAAGAAACCCAATGGTTTTTGGAGATTTCGGCGTGCGCGCGCGAAGAAAAAACGAATGTGTCCCGCATGGTATTATTTGACAGGGATGATGGCCCTGGCAGGTGCGCAACCGTTGTCGCAGAAGTTCGAAAAAGTTGCTCGCAAAAGCCCGTTTGACAGAAATGTTTAAAAAGTGTTGGTTTCCTACGAATCCGCAAGAGCGCGCGGGATGAGATTTTGACATTTTTTTGTTGAAAAACCATTGGTTTTTTGATGTTTTTATGTTAAAATCGCTCCGAACACTAAGCTTTTGGAAGGATTTCGTCTTGCGCGCGCGAATGTCCACTTTACCTTATTTTTTGCAAGGGATTCTTGAAATTTGATTATATTAGAACAAGAAATGTCATTTTATAGTGTTTTTTGCAAGGGAAAGCGGGGGGGAACAAAACAACCGGATCTTGATCACATCGAATTACCTGAGGCTTCCTCACGAAAATGATGAAAATGTAGCTGCGGCCTAGGCGGCGCAGGGGGGCCGTGCACCAGGGGCCCCAACAATAATTATTCTTTAGAATTAATAATGTTCAACAACAACAACAACAACAGCAGCAATACAACAACAAAAACAACAACAACAACAACAACAACAACAACAACAACCACAACAACAACAACAACCACAACCACAACCACAACCACAACCACAACCACAACCACAACAACAACAACAACACCAATCATTGTGAGGCTGTTCGCCCTTATCTGCTCGAGTGTCCAATAACGCCTAATTCACAAACCCTCGATACCCGCCCTCCTCGTCTTCGATCGAACCCCTTTTGGGTGGTATGCCGTTCTTCCCTGCAGGCCGGGCCCCGGCAAGCGGCGGGGGGCGGCCGCGGACCGTCGGCCTGGCCAGCGGCAGCGCTGATCGGTGGGGCGGCCGCGGACCGTCGACCCGACCCCAAGAGGGACGGACAGGGGACCAACTACGACGACGCCGACGACGACGACGACGGCGACGACGACGACGTCGACGATGACGGCGACGAGCGAAAGCGAGTGCGAAAGAGAACGACAGCAGGGCCACGAAGAACACGAATTTGACCACGAAGGGCGACAGCGGGGACACGAAGGGAATGCGTATGGGGCCACGAAGAGCGCGAACGAGCGGAGGCCACGAAGGGCAGATAATGCGGGGCCACAGAAGGCAACCATAAGGCTGCTGAGGGTAGCAACTGGGCCACGTAGGACAATGAGGGGGCCGCAAACGGCGACAGCGGGGCCACGAAGGGCATGCACATGAGGCCACAACGGGCGCGAACGAGCGGGGGCCACGAAGGGCATACGTATGTTGGGCCGCGGAGGGCAAGGACGGGGCCACTGAGAGCAGCAACAGGGCCACGAAGGGCAGCGAGGGGGCCACAAAGGGCGACAGCGGGGCCACGAAGGGCATGCATATGGGGCCACCACGGGCGCGAACGAGCGGGGGCCACGAAGGGCATACATATATGGGGCCACGAAGGGCAGCGAGGGGGCCACGAAGGGCTGCAACGGGGCCACGAAGGGCAGCGAGGGAGCCACGAAGGGCTGCAACGGGGCCACGAAGGGCTGCAACGGGGCCACGAAGGGCAGCGAGGGGGCCACGAAGGGCTGCAACGGAGCTACGAAAAGGGCCACGAAGGGCTGCAACGGGGCCACGAAACAAAGCGAGGAGGCCACGAGGGGCTGCAACGGGGCCACGAAACAAAGCGAGGGGGTCACGAAGGGCTGCAACGGGGCCACGAAGGGCAGCGAGGAGGCCACGAAGGGCTGCAACGGGGTCACGAAGGGCAGCGAGATCCCGATTCCTAGGTAATCTGTGAGGGAGTCCTAAGCGTGAGCGCGACTCCTGGGTGCCTGGGTGTCGGGAGCGCGGCGCTTGAGTACATTGCAAGAAATTCCAACGCAAAGACGCTATTCTTTAGCAATTTGCAAGCAAATCTCCAGCGAAAGCGCGACTCCAGAGCGCCGGGAGAGCGATTCCTGAATCAAGTGTAAGGAAGTCCCAAGCGAGAGCGCGATTCCTGAATAAAATGCGAGGAAGTCTCTGGCGGGAGCCGGGGTCCTGGCTAAATTGTGAGGAAGTCTAAAGCGGGAGCCGTCTTTGTTGTAACCCGGGGACCAGAGGCGCAGTTTGAGCATCAAGACTTCCCCTGTCAAAAAACAGAGTGCGAGCGTCGAGGGGCACACATTGATTAAGAAGAAACAGCATGCACCGGTGAGGGGGGGTCAACAATACTTGTTCTTCAGAAAAGAGTTCGACAACAACAACAGCAACAACAACAACAGCAACAGCAACAGCAACAACTACAACTACAACTACAAGTATAACAACCACAACAACAACGACAACGACAACAACAACAACAGCAACAACAACAACAACAATTACAGTCCGCATCGCGTAATCCCACTTCAGCCACGCACCTAGGGACAAGGAATGACCGCTCGGCCCCCTCACTCTGACAATCCCGGACGGTGGGGGCACCAACAACAATTCACACAACGCTCTGCAATTGCGGATAAGGGCGAGGGGGTGGGCGCAGGGTGGGTCGCGGGGTGGGTCGTTGAGTGGGTCGCGGGGTGGGCTCGCGAGGTGGGCCGCGGGAGGGTCGCAGAAGGGACGACGACAACAACGCAGTGCAGCAGCAGCGGCAACGTAAACGACAACGAGCGTCGCCGAGGCATCGGCGATGTGGCGCAATCCTCCGACCCCGTCTGTCCGGACCCCATCTGGGAGGCCCAGAGGTGATGCATGCGCCCACCGAGGCCGTTGGGGCACGCAGCGTGCGCGGGGTGCGCCGGCGCGGGTGGCGGTCACGCGTGCGGTCGGGCCCACGTCGGCCGCGGGCGGAGCTGCCCGAGGGCCGGAGAGCGTATAGAGGATCAGCCGAAGCGGTGGGGGTAGAGCAGGAGCTCGACCACAAGAAGCCTTCCACCAGGAACCCAACCACGAGACCCCAAGACGTTCATTGCTTTCTGGCATGGCAGCGTCACGCTCCTCCGCAGTAAGACCAACGAGGCCCAAGAAACCCAGGGCGCCCTGGAGGCAAGCAGGGTGCTTCTTGGCATGGCTCTCCACTGCGACGCGTGTGGCGGGGCCCGCTGAAGCCGACGGCGGAGCCCCCCGGAGGGGCCCAGAACGTGCGAGGGGTGTGGTGGCAGCGTGGGTGGCGGTAGCGTCTGCGGCCAGGCCCGCCGAGGCCGCAGGTGGAGCTCCCCCAGGGGGCGCGCAGCGTGTGAGGGGTGTGCCGCGAGGAGGAGAATGACGATGACGATGATGATGATGCTGATGATGCTGCTGATGATGATGATGATGTTGATGATGATGATGATGATGATGATGATGATGATGATGATGATGATGATGATGATGATGGTGATGATGGTGATGATGATGATAATAATGATGATGATGATGATGATGATGATGATGATGATGATGATGATGATGGTGATGGTGATGGTGATGGTGATGATGATGATGATGATGATGATGATGATGATGATAATGATGATGATGATTATGATGATGGATGACGACGACGATGATGAGAAGGAGGAAAAGGAGGAAGAGGAGGTGGGAGGAGGAGGAGGAGGAGGAGGAGGAGGAGGAAGAGGAGGCGGGAGGAGGAGGAGGAGGACGAGGAGGAGAAAGGTAATGATACGTGCGGTGCTGCGGATTCAAAGCGAAGGCCCAAGAACATCGGAGGGTTTGGGGGGGGCCTTGGGACCTCCCTCCTGCCTCCTGGCTCCTCCTCGACGTCCCCTCCTCTCCCCCCTCGTTCTCGACCCCCAGTCTCGTCCTCCCCCTCGCCTTCTCGTCCTCCCCTCCCCTCCTCGTCTTCTCGTCCTCGACCCCCCTTCTCGTCCTCCCCCTCGCCTTCTCGTCCTCCCCTCCCCTCCTCCCCTTGCCGCCTCCCCTGACGGCACACCACCGATTGCAACGCCAGGCCGACGCCCAGAGAGCGGGGCCCCTCCTCCCCAGAGGGCGTCTAGGAGAAAGAAAACGCCATAGACTTACACTCTTTTTTGATCCGCGGGTCGAGAGCGCACCTCTTCCGGTCGAAGCTGAGCGGGCCGCGCGAAGCTTGAATGAATCAGAGAAGGGGGAGGAACAGGGGGGCGCAGACTCAGAACGAGGCCGGGAGGAGGCAAAGCCGATACCATAATTAGACTTACACTCTTGGCGTTCCGCGCGGATTTCTTGGATCTGTGATGGACCCCCCGTCCCGGCGCGCGGAGCGCGCCGGGGGCGGCGCCGGAGGCGCCAGCGCCGGAGGCGCCTGCCGGGGGACCCCGCGCGGATCCGAGGAACCCGCGCGGAGCGCCAAAGGTTGACGCTTATATTGAAGGGGCCCCAGGACACACAAATAAATACACACAAATAAAAAGATTCCCCATATTTTCCCATATTTTCTGGGTTTCTGTCTTCCCCCCCACTGCCCATATTTTCCCATATTTTCCTCGGGATCGACGATTAATTGTGTCTGTGTGTTTCTTTTCCTCCTGATATATGCCGATTATACTCTTCTTCGCGACCCGAGGGCGTCGGAGAGCGGGCACGGCACGCGAACAAGGGGGAGGCACTGCGAGCAGGGGCCGGCCGTCCCGGCATCCCTGTGGGCCTGGCACGACGTGCTCGGGCGTTGGCAGAACTGGGCTCCGTGGAACCTGGTTTCGTGATTTGAGCCGGGGGCGCCACCCCGTCCCATTTCCACGAACCGGAACTGCCGTCACCCGAAGAGCACCAGTTATACGGCAATGAAACTGGCCAATTGAAGGGCCCCGTGGCCCTACCACTGACCGGGTCCCCTTACCCGGGGTCCTGCCGATACCCGATATGTGCTTAGAGTATGAACCCGATGTGCTGCAAGAAGACAACAGGTTGGCCAGACATGTCCTGAGAACACTTCGTGCAGACCACAGACGGTTCTCAGCACAATGGCCACCACTCGGACGTCCATTCCCTGTTTTCTTTGTTCGGCTTCGTGCGTGTGTTTTTTATTTCGCAGGATGCTCCAGGATGCTCCTTCATAATCCCCGCCGAGAAAAAAGTGCTCACGCCCGAGCGATACCAAGAGCATTCTGTTTGGTGGGCCTGTGGGCATGCCGGGACGCGTCGCCACTGCTCGAGCGGCGGGCCGCGCGCACGACGCGGGGCCGGCCGCGGCCCCGCCGCGGCCCGCCCGGGGCGCCCCCCAGGGGCGGGCCGCCGCCGCCCGCGGTCACATGATCTGCGACGCCGCGTTGAGCTTGGCGCACGTGTCCTCCCCCGCCGGGAGGGGGCGGGGCGGGGCGCTGCTCCAAGGAGGGGGCACTCCACGGGGGAAGATCCGGTGGCGAAGCTCACGGGAGCCTCCCGCACCAGCTCGTCGGCTCCTGCGGAGCGACGCCCAGCGAAACCAGGCGACGCTCATGGACGCTCAATCGACGCGAATCGGCGCTCAACGACGCTACATCGGCGCTGTCTCATTGACTCCCAGACGGTATGGTCGACGCTAACCGACGCTAAAGAGTGAATTCAGAGGGTACACCAGGCTGCCATGATCTGCGATCGAAGGAATAAGTTGAGGGCAAAACTCCCCCCCAGAATAACCACCCCGACAAGCGAAGCCGTCTAGTGAACGCACCCAAAGACGAAACCGAACAGGGTAGGGCTGTTCAGCGAACGCCCAGGGTCGTTTCGTACACGCCAAGGATCGGGTCCTGGCGGCTGTTCTTGCCTTGGTCAATGACATTCAGAAGCCGGGCAAGGGCTGCTAAATCCGTGGCTTCTAAAATCGACCTCCAGGAAGTTGTCTTCGTCCTTCCGGGAAGAAGCCCGTTGACCGTTTCGCGTGCCGCGCCTCACATTTTTTCCCTCCGGGAGGGCCGTTTCAGCCGCCACGGTTTTGGCAGCCCTCGCCCAGCTTTCGAGACATGGAGGGAGAGAGCACAGGCGCCTTCTGCGCACCTCCGGGACCCCCCCCTCTGGGGCCCCGAGGAGGAGGAGGAGGAGAAGGAGGAGGAGGAGGAGGGGGACGAGGAGGAGGAGGAGGAGGAGGAGGAGGAGGAGGAGGGAGAGGAGAGAGGAGGAGGAGGAGGAGGAGGCCCCGCGCCTGCGGCCCTCGAGGACCCCCCCGCCCCCCCCCCCCGTGCAGCGCGCCCGCCCTCTCCGCGAGACGGCGCAGCGGCGCCCGGGCGGGCGGGGCGGCGGGGGCGGGGGGTGCCGGGCAGATGTTCCACCGCCACCTGCCAGATGCAGGACGGGAGAGAAGCGAGGACGAGGAGGTCCTCCTCCTCCTCCTCCTCCTCCGCCTCCTCCTCCTCCTCCTCCTCCTCCTCCTCCTCGTCCTCCTCCTCGTCCTCTCCTCCTCCTCCTCCTCCTCCTCCATCTCCTCTCCTCCTCCTCCTCCTCCTCCTCCTCCATCTCCTCCTCCATCTCCTCCTCCTCCTCTTTCCTCCCCTCCTCCTCCCCCCTCCATTCCCTCCTCCTCCATTCCCTCCTCCATTCCCTCCTCCATTCCCTCCTCCTCCTCCTCCTCCTCCACCTCCTCCATCTCCTCCTCCTCCTCCTCCTCCTCCTCCTCCTCCTCCGCCTCCTCCGCCTCCGCCTCCGCCTCCGCCTCCTCCGCCTCCGCCTCCTCCTCCGCCTCCGCCTCCGCCTCCTCCTACACATGGTAGTGGTGGCGGAATATGGGCCTATCAGGGGGGGGCGACCTCTGGCGTCACCGAAGAAACTTTGCGCGGCGCTAGTTGGGGTCTGCTTCTGACACGGGGGGGCCGTAACAATAATTCGCTGAGCGAAGAGATAACTGCGGGGGTTGGGTATGTAGAGCTCTGCGGGGGACCTCAGGCCACGAAACAACAAATCTAATTAGGCGTCGGGGGTCGATGCGGGGACGGAGGATGCGGAGCGGGGAAAGGCCGCGTGGGGGGGTCAGGAGGGAGGAGGAGGGGAGGAAACGCAAAGGGGAGGTGCGGTATCCTGGGGGGGGGCTGCGCTCTGAGAATTTGTCGCCACTCTCGAGGGCTGCTGGGGGGGGGGCAGCATAGTGGGCACTCGCGGCAGATCCAGATTAGGCTTTGCCATCCCGTGGGGCTGCGATCTACGAAATTGTCGCCACTTTCGAGGGTTGATCGAGAGGGGCCAGCAAAGTGGGTACTCGTGGCAGGTCCAGATTGGATCCCTGGGGGGCTGCGATCTGCGAAACTGTCGCCACATTCGAGGGCTGCTAGGGTGGGGGCAGCATAGTGGGCACTCGCCGCAGATTTAGATTAGACCTCGCCATCCCTTGGGGGGGCTGCGAATCGCGAAAGTGTCGCCCCTTTCGAGGACTGCTGGGGGTGGGGTGTGGCAGCTTAGTGCGGTGCTGCGCGCATCAGATCGGAACCTCGCCATCTCTTGGGTGGCTGCGACTTGCGAAACTGTCGCCGCTTTCGAAGGCTGCGGGGGAAGGGCAGCTTTGTGCAGTGCTTCGCAGATCAGAGCGGGACCTCGCCGGCCCTTTGTGCCACATGAGCAACATCAGCGGCGACGCAGACAGCGAAATCTGTTCAGACTGGACAGTAACTGCGATCGGTCTTTGTACCCATTGTTTCCGTACCTATTTATTTCGAGCGTGCCGATTCGCCCACGACTCCTCCCCCGCTCCTGGCCTCGGGTCGGGCACGTCCTCCTAGGGGCGGACCTTGCAAGAGAAGCGAAACATGATCAAGCAATATTCAAAAGCAGGCGAAGCTGTCGAAGAATCGTCCCCAGACTGTTTTCTGCTATTATTGAGCATTCCTCCCGTCGAGGGACGTGCCCGGCGCAACCCTGGCCCTGTCCGCGGGGCGCGGGGCGCTCGCGGTGCTGCCTGCGCGCCCCTGCGGGCGAGGGAGCGCACAGAGCGGACAGCCGCCTCCCCCCCACCCCCCCCTGAGCACGGCACGCGGCGGCCAGGCACACGGAGGCTCCCTACTCCTCCTCTCCCCATTCCCCTCTCTGCCTCTGCCTCTGCCTCTGCCTCTGCCTCCGCCTCTGCCTCTGCCTCCGCCTCTGCCTCTGCCTCCTCCTCCTCCTCCTCCTCCTCCTCCTCCTCCTCCTCCTCACCTCCCTCCTCCTCCTCCTCCTCCTCCTCCTCCTCCTCCTCCTCCTCTCCTCCTCCTGCCCTCTCCTCCTCCTCTCCTCCTCCTCCTCCTCCCCCTCCTCCTCCCCTCCTCCTCCTCTCTCCTCCTCCTCCTCCTCCTCCTCCTCCTCCTCCTCCTCCTCCTCCCTCCCCCCCTCGGAGGTGGCGTGCCCCCTGCTGCGCCCGCCGCTGAGCGGGGAAGCTGCGGGCGCCAGCCCCGGACCGCAATCGAGCCGCTGCGCCAGCAGACCCAGCCCACCCTCCTTGCTCCTTCCCTGGAGGTTTCCGGGGGCCCAAGAGGGACCCGAGAAACATCTGGACAGCTCGAACCTCCTCCTTGTTCGTTCGTTCGTGGCCTTAGGCACGGAGCTTGGGTCCCAAACGCAGAGAGCAGCGATGGGTGAGGGGAACAAAAAAACAAGCAGCGATCGCAGCAGCGGCGAGTGCTCCACGTGCGACTCCAAGAAGTCCCCCCGAAAGTCCCGAAAGTCCTCCTCCTCCCCCCCGAAGACAAGGGCGGCTGGAAACCTCCATCTCCCGTACTCCTTCCTGATGGTCGGCCCCCTCCTGTCGCACCGCCACCACGCGTCGCGGCAGAAAGGGCCACGTCTTTCGCCTGAGATGTCTTTCATGTCTGGTGACCATGAAAGCTGAGGACTCCACCAGCTCCATTGGATCGAGGGCGGGTGGCTGTCAAAATGTGACTCTCGCCGCGGCACCGAGCAAAAGCGTGCTAGAAGAACACAGCAATCACATGGACGATGGGTGGGCTCTCGACTGAGACCTCCCCGGATGTGCTGCCACGAGCATGACATTGTGCCGCAGTCCAACGGATGCGGGGCGATCCTTCTTGTCACAGTGGGAGCCCTGCCCAGAGGCCCCCTCTGTTTGTGTCAGAGGTGGGCTCCCTTCTTCAAAACAAGGAGCAGAGAGGCCCCCCCTTTTTTGTCCGAGGTGGGCTCCCTTCTTCAAAGCAAGGAGCAGAGAGGCCCCCCTTTGTTGTCCGAGGCTGGCTCCCTTCTTCAAGGCAAGAAGAAGAAGAGAGGCCCCCCTGTTGTCCGAGCTTGGCTCCCTTCTTCAAGGCAAGGAGAAGAGAGGCCCCCCCGTTGTTGTCCGAGGCTGGCTCCCTTCTTCAAGACAAGAAGAAGAGAGGCCCCCCTTTGTTGTCCGAGGTTTGGCTCCCTTCTTCCAGACTAGAAGAAGAGAGGCCCCCCTTGTTTGTCCGAGGCTGGCTCCCCTGTTCAAGGCAAGGAGAAGAAGAGAGGCCCCACTGTTTTATTTCTCTGAGGTGGGCTCCTTTTTTCCATACAAAAGAAGGGGGGCATTTACCTGCACGGCAGGCCCGCGGGGCGCTCGCCCTCCCCGTCCAGGAGAGAAGTGCTGGGGGCCCCCGCGGCGGGCACCGAGGGCCAACCCCCGCACGACAGCGTGGCAACCGCTCGGACGTCCGTTCCGTGTGAACCGTTTTTGTTTTGGGGGGGGTGTGTTGTTTTTTTTGTTTTTTTGTTTTTTTGTTGTTTTTTTTCTGTTTTTCCGTTTTTTGTTTGTTTCTGTTTTCCGTGTTTGTGATCTCAACGCCCGCACAGCCTGAGAGAAGCAATGCACAGCAGCGGCGGCGGGGAAACCGCTGCCGGCAGCGAGGGAGACCTCACTGACCGATGCAGTGACAAAGGACGACGATCACCTTGCTGCGTGCCTTGTTCGTGCTTTTTTCCTAGGGGACCACGTGCGAACCCTACCCCTCTGTCCCCCCCCCCTCCCCACGATTCCTGAGGGGGGAGGGTGGCCTCCGAGCGGAGTGAGCCCCCCGCCCTCCCCCTTCAGAAATCGTGGGGCAGGCAGGGGTATAGAGGGTTCGCACGTGGCCCCCTCATTTTTTGCTCGGTGATCCAGGATGCTCTTCGATGGTCCTCGCCGAGGAAAAAATGCACACGTCCGAGCGATGCCACGACAATCGCCCCCCCCCTCCCCCCCCCCTTGGATCCGTGGGGGGGGCGGAGAGGGGGCGGGGGCACGTGAGGTCGGAGTGGGCGCAGGGGGGCTTGGAGGAAGAGGAGGAATCAGGAGGGAGGGGGGAGGATGGAGGGGGGGGGCTCGGGCAGGATCAGTCAGAAGGTGAATCCCCCCCCCCTGATAAGGAACCCATCCAGAGAGTGAGGACGTGCAAGGGCCCCTGGAAGGCCTGCCATGCGGGTTGGCTCTGTAGTGGTCGCAGGGGCTCCCATGCTGAGGGGGCCTGGGGTTGAGTCGGGCTTGTCCCCCTCTACAAGGAGATTTTCCACGAAAAATAAGAAATACCCCCCCCAAGTATTCAAAAAATAATGCAAAAATAGTCTGGAGACTATTTTTTAGTATTTGTTGACCTTCTTGGGGTATTGTTGGGGTATTTCCAATTTTTCGTCGAAAATCCCCCTGTAGGGGGACACGCCCGACATAACCGTAGATGCTGCGAAACTGGACGAGCGCAGGTAACATCCTCAAACCAAGCCCGATCAAGCCTGGACAAGCGCGTTCCACTACTCGCAAAGTAGCTGCTCGCAGATGGCCTGGATCCGCCATGGGAGATTCACGGTGCGCTACATCGATGCAAACATGTTTGTTGTTTTTGTTCGGACGTTTGCGAGTAGGCACTTTGCGAGTAGTGGAACGCGCTCGGTGATAACCGGATTGACCGGGAGAAGACGGAATTTGGCGGCACTGTGCGGGACATGGCCTGCTTCGACAACGATGCACCAACGCCGATGCGGAATCTACTCATCGGTCGGAAGAAGTGGGTAGGAACATGACGCAGGAAGGTGCTGAAAATAGATTGGGTGTACACCCGCCCCCTAAAGAGGACGGAGAAGGTGAAGCCGCTCGACCATTGAAGTGTAGGAAGGCGCTCAAAGTACATTTTGGAATCTGGAATTCCAAAGATACGAGAGAACGCGTTTCACGGGCGCTTGCCTTGGGAACATTCGGCGGCGCGTTTCGTTTCGAACCGGGGGGTGGGCCCACCCCCCCCAACACTCGGCGCCGTCGACGATCAAAAAACCACGGGACATCAACTCACCCCCAAAACCCCCCCCCTCCCGAACCCCCCCCCCCGGCGGCGCCGGCGCAGGCGGCCTCCAGCAGCGCCGACGGCGGGGACGCAGCGACGATGACCAGAGGCAGCCCAAGGGGGGGCGGGGGGCGCCCTGGCGCCGAAGGGGGGGGGAGGGGGTTCAAACCCACCCCCCCCCTTCCATCCAGGGGGGGGGGTCCGGTTTCAAAATATCTTGCCCCGCCAAGCGACCACAGAACGCGCTCTTTCAAAGATGCCTACCTTCAACGACCGATGGGCAACCTCCCAGCCAGAAGGCCTCCGAATAACAGGTCCCTGAAGATCCCGGCGTCCCAAAAATGACTCGCAGGAGCCGCTCCCTCCCCTTGCAGGGGGCCCAGGGGCACACGAACAGATGGACAGAAATCCCAGGATTCCTTTACGTCTCTTCTGGATCGTCGTCTTCCCCTTCCACTTCCCAGATTGAAGGGGCCCTGGGACACACAAATAAATACACACAAATAACAGGATTCCCCTCTATTTTTCAATATTTTCTGGGTTTTCGTCTTCCCCCCACACTTCCCATATTTTTCCAAATTTCCTTGGAATCGACGATTAATTGTGGCTGTGTGTTTTTTTCCCTCCTGACCCTTCCAATGCCCAGATGTTCCCAACTGCGTCCCTGGAGATCGACGGTTCTGTTCGAGTCCGTGCCTCCCGCCGGCCCGCCCCCCCCCCGCCTCGAGCAGCCCGAGGAGGGTCTCCTCCGTCTGCTCCCGGTCGCCCCGCTCGCGCGCGATCTCGTCGCGCATCTTCACGACGGTCTCCTCGCGGCGGCGAGCGAGGGGGGGGGGAAGTGAGAGGGAATGGAATGGAACGGAATGGACCTATCGCGAAGCGAAGTAACATGACCTAACCACCACCCAAGCCATCTGCTCGGGTTTAATGAGGCTTCTTAAACTTGGGCCACAGACCCTTACGAATTCTGTCCAGGTACACCTGCCCCGTGGGCGTAATGGTCCTCTCAGAGGGCGGCGGGGCTTCCCGGAGGCCCTCCAGGGCTCCCGGGAGGGCGCCCTGCGTCGTCGGGGAAGGCTTGGCAAGCTTTTCGGAAAGCCAGGGGACTCCCGAGCCTTCTGAGAAGGCCTTCCCCTTCTCGGTTCCCCCAAGGCTCGCCGCCGAGACTATGAGGATGAGGCGGACGAGGACCACGACAAGGACGAGGCCGAGGACGAGGCGGACGAGGCCGAGCCTTCTGAAGAAAGGGGGACGAGGACGAGGTGGCATCAAACGAGTAAAGCTGGTAAAGCTGGGTGTACCCCCGCATCTCGCGCCTCTTCCGCTGGTGTACGCAAGGAAGCTTTCAGCAGTAGATTCCACTTCGTGCATGTCTTAACTGATGAGGTTTAAGATTTCCCAAACAGTGCTCGCACTTACGGTTTACGTCGCTCTCCGGAGCTGGGCCCGACTGCCGGTTCCGCCGACTTGTGGCCGCCGTCGCCGTCTCGTCGCCGCCCGTCGCCTGGGCCTGAGTGTTGGTTCCGCCGCCTCGTGGCCGCCGTCGCCGCCTCGTCGCGCCGCTCGTCGCCGCCCCTCGTCTGGGCCTGACTGTCGGTTCCACCGGTTTGTGGCCACCGTCGCCGACTCGTCGCCGCCGGTCGCCACGTAGATTGCAACACAAAGATTGCAGTACATAGGTTGCACCACACAGATTGCACCACACAGGTTGCACGACACTGATCGCGCAAAATGTTGCACAGCATAGATTGCACCACGTAGGCTGCACCACGTAGACTGCACCTCATGGGTCGCAGCACTTTTACTGCACAAAGATCGCACCACAGAAAATTCACCACATAGACTGCATCACGCAGGATGCACCACATAGATTGCACCTCACATATTCTCCTTTCTAAAAACAGAATAGGATCTACCCCCCCCCGGCGTTATCACTCCCCCCTGCGGGTATGTAAATCAAGTATGATGATGACCACATGTCCATCCTAAATATGAATTTACACTATCCCAGGGGGGGCCTGGTT